GCTTCATATTATTAAGATGGCAGAGATCCCCAGACTGACCCACATAACCAACAAATGCTGAGATGTTGCTTTTCTTTTGAAAACATAAGCTAACAAGATGATTATTAAAGTCATGGGGAAATACTGAGGGCCCAGATTAGCATGGCGATCTGAGGAAAAGCAGGTGAATGATTCATGGTTCTCGAATGCAAAACTAACAGCTGAGAAATGAGGGTGTGGGGTTGGGATAAAGGCAGGCACACTGATCAACAGGATGGAATGAGGGTTCAGAAATAAATCCTTACATCTGTGGTTAATTGATTTCCAACAAGGGTTCTGGAGTAATTCACCATGAGAAAACCAAGCTTTTCAACAAACTGTGATGGGAAAACCAGAAATTCAGATAACAGAAGTTGAACCTTACCCCATACCCCATAAAAAAAAATGGGTCATAGACCTAAATGTGAGGGGGGAGGATTGTACAACTATTAAAAGAAAAGAGGATCTCAGAGAGGAGGTGCATTTTTATATTACACCAAATGTGCTGATTGGGGGGGGGGGAGAGGAGAAAGAATAGGACTATATTCAAATTAGCAAAAATATAAAATGATGACTTATAACATGGAACATTTGTAAGTCATGTTTCTGCTAACACACTTGTATCCAGAACATATAAAGAACTTTTAAAGTTCAACAACAGGCAGGCAACTGAACTAAAAATGGGCCAAGAATCTGAGTAAACATTTTTCCCAAAGAACACACAAATGGCCAGTGAACAAATGAGGAGATGTTTAGCATCATTTGCCATTGGAGAATCACAAATCAACAGAACAGCGAGTTACATCTCCACATACACCAAGATGGCTGAGATGAGAGAGAACGAGCAAGCTGCTGGTAAGGAGGTAGGGAACGAGGCCCTTATAGGTTGTCAGTGGGATAGTAAAATGGTGCAGGTGTTTGGGAAAGGTTTGCAGAGTTATCACGTGACCAGACACTTTGCTTTTAGGTACCTATACAAGAGAAATGAAAATATGCACTCATACAAAACCTCACACCTGAATGCTCACATGTCTGAGCAACATTCTTCACAATAGCCAGAAAGAGAGGGAGTAGCTATCGATTGAGAATAAATAACATGTGATATACAATGGAATATTACTCAGCATAGAATAGAGTTCCAACAAATGATACAACACATAGAACTTCATTAAATGTAAAATCTCTCTCTTTCTTACACACACATATACACAAACACACACACACAAACACACACACACATACAGAGAGAGAGAGAGAGAGAGAGAGAGAGAGAGAGAGAGAGAGAGAGAGAGAGAGAGAGGAGAGAGGAGAGAGGAGAGAGGAGAGAGGAGAGAGATGTCTCCTGAGTTGGTAACACCATGCCATGGAGACAGAATGAAATACTGGGAAGAGGAGGAACATGGTGATTGCTAATGTTCTAAATAAGACAAATGTGATGACTGGATGAGTCAGGGAATATATTAAAACCCACAAAACTGCACACTTTGAAGAGGTGAATTTTGCAATATGTAACATATATCTTAGCAAAAACAGTTATAAAAATTAACTCTAAGTGAGAGAAAGTTAACAGATTTACTACTTAAAAAGGAAGTCTTGGGCCTGGAAAGTGAGCCCAGTGGCCAAGAGCATTTGCTGATCTTGCAGAGGACCCGGGTTCAGTTCTCACTTCCTATAAGATGGCTCACAACCATCTGGAACTTCTCGCCCAGCAGTTCTGACTCACTCCCCCTTCTGGCTTCTGTGGGCATTGTAAGTACATGGTGCACATGCATACATGCAGGCAAACATGCACTTGCATAAAATGGAAACAAATCAATCTTTTTAAAAAATAAGGAAGACTTATTGCATTAAAAGCATGATAAGTCAGAGACTGGGAACGTTTGTAACACATGCTATTATTTTTGGGAACAAAAAAAGTTTATACATTACTACATTATGGGAAAGAAAGAAATACATAGCTACCACAGCAAGGAGAGCCCAGGAGGAGCTTCCCTCTTCCAGAACTGGGTGTGTGTGAAACCCATAAGGGGTCATGTCCTTTTTAAATTTTGTGAAGCACTTCAAAGAAATCTTGGCTCAAGGGGAAGAGAGGTAGACAATCTTTGAAAATACGAGTCACAAGCCTGGACACAGAGACTTGCAATCTGAAAAAAACACTACTTTATGGTTATGAAAGCCTTGGGCAGAAAAATCTAATTTATATTGGGTCTCAATTTGACAGTAATTTTAAAGATGCCATTGAGACTATCCATTGTGTATGAAAGCTGGTTTTGGAATAATAAGATGGAAAAAAAAGAATAAGATGAAGGTTTATATAGATGCAGTTGATGTAAATCATCTGGAAAAATAATAAACACCCAACAGAAATGGTCAAATATTACATAGCCCAATTCTCAAAGGAATTATAAATGCCTGAAAAACCATGAGTAATGCTTGAACCTAACCAGTACTTGGAAAACACAAAATAAAACAACCAGGTGACATTTCCTTCTTATCAGGGTAGTATAATTTAAAAAGCCTAATGCAGGCTGAGGGCTGCATTTGGTCTCTGCAGCTATGTACATTTAGTACTCTGCTTCCGTATCTTGAACTCTACCCCAAGTAAACAATCCTAAAGTAGACCCAGCATTTATTTGAAACGATGTTCATAAAAATATTAGCTAGACATAGGAAAAGGAGAAAGGATGTAAATGTCCAACACTAAAAGCATGGCTAGCAGATGATGGTACACCCCTATAATTTTCATGCTGCATTTTAGTTTAAAATGATGTTTAAAATATTCAGGGGTTTGAGAAACTATTTATATTGAAATGATATACAAATATCAGATGGTAGACGCCTAAAAGCATTCACCATTATACTGCTCTGTGTGTGTGTGTGTGTGTGTGTTGCTAAATCAAACCTGGAGCTTGCACACAGCAGTCCTGCACTTTGTTGGACACAAGATTTAAGAAAATAGATGAAGTACAAAAATAAAAATTGGGAGGAAGTACACCAACATCTTAGTAATAGGCAGCTCTGGGCAGCTTCCTCCCAAATTTTATTTGCTTTCAAGTAATTATCACAGTTTCTTTTCTATTTCCAAATTACAGCAAATATTGTAAGAAAAATTTGCGATGACTAATGTCGTGGTTTGGGGGTGACTAATGTATTATGATTTGAGTTATAAAGTTAGACCACAGAATAATTAAATGGTAAGAAAACAATATGTATATCATATGCTCATTCTCTACTTTCTACACAGTTAGAACACTAACAGTATGCACACAGTAAATTTCCTGTAAGTATAAAGACAAATATGTGATATTTTACCCTGATTCAAAATAATCATTATTAGTTTTGGGCTTAGTTTGTTCCATTTATTCAATTACTCATGGTTTGAAGGCAGGATACTGATTTGAGAACTTATCCCTTCAGTTTTCTGCAGAGCTAGGGATCAACCTGGGGACACTGTGCACGCTGGAGAAGAACCACCACTAAGCTAAACCTACAGGGGCTTTCTTCAAGTTTTGACGTAGGAATTTTTAATCTCTAGATCTGACCTTGAGCCCTGCCTCTGGAGTTTCCCACCACTTGTGGGATGTGTGTGTTTCCTCTTTTCCTTTTTGAGAGAGGATCTCGCTGTAGTCCCCAGACTAGCCTGGGGACTCCCAGTCCTCCTGTCTCAGCTTCTCAAGTGCTGGGATTATTTAAGTATTTGTCACTGTTGCCTGACGGTGTGTGCTTTCATTTGTCACTAAGTTCTTTTTCTATTTTCCCTTTGATTTCTTCTTTAAACTACTGGTGACAATGGCTACATACAAATGAATGTATTATCTCAACAACTAACTGTACATTGCATGCGCGCGTGCACGTATATGTATGTGCATGTGCACATGTGGTGGCCAAAAGGTTGATGCTGAGTGTCTTCCTCAATCATTCTCTACCTTTTTCATTTATTTATTCATTCATTTATTTTGAGAAAGGGTCTCCTGTAGTGAGATAGTTCCTAGTTAGATATATTAGGCACTAGACTTACGTTTTCCAGCTTAGGACAACTCTTTTGTAAACTCCATTATGCCTTCACCCTAGGACTAGATATGTAGGTCATTTTGTTCTCGATTTTCCTTTTCTTAGAGCACACTTGTTATTCACTGTTTTGTATATAGTTTTGTATTAAGCCTAAATCTTTTCTTTAGACTAAAAGTCTATATTATAGTGAGATAGTCCTTCTGTGACACTGACCACGCCCATTGGGGGGGTGGAGCCATGGGCGGAAGTGACCTGGGGAAGGAGGTCAGAGGGAGAGCCAGGAAAAGCTCTCTTGCTGGCGTGACTCGGACAGGAGAGCATCGGGTTGAATTTCCTGGTGTTCATCTGTCTAGGTTGTAAGTTATTTCTCCCTGAATAAACATCTATTAGGCCTATTTGTTTATCCTGATCCTTATTTAACCGCGATAGTCTCCCATTGAACATGGAGCTTATAGATTGGCCAACAAGCACCAGCAATTTGCCTGTTTATGCCTCACTAGGGCAGACATTATATTGTATCCTGCTTTTTTGGTTTTGTTTTTGTTTTATGAGACAGGGTTTCTCTGTGTAGCTCTGGCTGTCCTGGAACTCACTCTGTAGACTAGGGTGGCCTAGAACTCACAGAGCTCCACCTGCCTCTGCCTCTTGAGTGCTGGGATTAAAGGTGTGTGCCACCCCCCCTGCCTCTGTGTTCTGCCTTTGACATGGGTGCTAAGGGTGTGAACTCAGGTCCTCATGATTTCATATTACTTTACTGATTGAGCAACTCCCACACCCCAGCCTGTGCCTTTTCTTTTTAACATAAAATAGGCTAATGATTATGGCATCATTAAATCATGCTATTTAACCATAATTAGTCATTATTACCACTGCAGTAAAAACATCTAACTCTTCCAACAACAACTTCCCACACGTATATGGTGACGTCAGTAACAAGTGGTACAATCAAGAAACTTTCCTAAGGCTCTTACCTTGAATTTTCTTGAAAACTCTGGAATTCATAAACTTTAAAAATCTATCTGCATAAAAACTTGGTCTATGAACTGAAACAGTGTCCTGAAAAGAAAGAAAGAAAGAAAGATGACAGGTTTGCTTCTTAGAGTTCACCTCGAGTAGGAAAAATGGCTCGGTTAGTCAAGATCTGAAATAAAACATGTCCAACAATTAGAAGGACCAGAGGGCTAAGGCTGGGGCAGCCAGCAAGACTTAGTCATCATAGAGAGTCTATGTTCTCAGGACGAAAAGGAGCATAAAGGGACAGAGGAGACGGCCAAATGACTCTGCTCCATAAACAAAACTGTCCTGTCACAACACCACCAGGACTTGGGGGGACTTGTCTGTTTTTCTTTTTAAGAGACAACTAGCAATCCAGGCACCATCTGGAATGACGGGGGCACTCGCAGTAAATAGACCACTTATATGAGGTCTCTGCATTTATAGCTAGGGACATCTGCAAGGGGCAGGTAAGAAGGGCATAGTTCTCAGTCACATCAGAAAGATCAGAAAGAGACATAGCTCCCCTAGCATAGGAGTGGCATTTATGTTAGGGGGGTTTTATCACTAGGTAACAAGGCGAGACTAAATTAGCTACTGATCACACGGGACTGGATTGAATGGAAACGCTAGGTTCCTCCCATGTTTTGCAGGAGCCCTTAGGTCAATTTATTATAATCCAGAAAAATGGCCTGGATGAAGGAGCTGACTCTCTAAGTTCATCTTGTAGATGCTCTATCTTGAATATAAGTTTCTGGAAGGAAATTTCTAAAAGTTCCATAGTAGACACCATGAATGGTATGCAGTGGGAGGTTCAAAGAGCGGTGAGCCAGAAGTCATGTGACCTGCACCTGGTGTGAGGTCTAATTTTAACAGGCTGTACGACTCTGGGAGCAGCCAGTATCTCAGGGCCTCAGTTCTTTTATCTACAAACACACTGATCCACGCATCTATTTGTGTGTAGTTAGAGACATCTGCAATTCCCCAAATGGCAGTTAAAAGGGCACAACTCTTTAGTCACATTAGGAACGCTGAACTCCCTTGGGGAGCTGGTGATGTGGCTGACATTTGTTTCTGGTGTGACATGTGCTCTTCCAACGTTACTAGCAGCTTCTGTTTCTGTGGACAGTTTCTCACAACAGATACCATGACTTAGAAATACTGGTAAGAAGCAAGGGGAATCTATGGCTGACTGACACCCAGCCCTTCCCTTATAGGCTTCCGTAATTGTTATCCTTGATCTAAAAACAAACGACAACAAACTGTCTAAATAAGAAACACATTTGTAAACAAACAAAAGTAAGTCTTGGTTATCACTTACGGTTTCACAAATCTATAACAAGTACAGAGGTCTTTCTTATGACCAAACTGAAGATTAGAAGACATGTTTTCCACAGACAAAGGCTTACATGAGACTAGATCCCTGACTTGGTATTGGAATAAAAGTATCGATGAAAACACTGGATGACCTTGGGATATTTGACATCTACTTTCTGCATTCAAGGCACTGTGAGATTCCTGTCTTCCTCAGCTGGGAGACCTAAAATTAACCTAGCTTGACTTTTTCGTAAGAGGAACTCCTGATCTGACTAAGCCTGTGGCAGATTCTGAGAATTGTGAGCCTATAATTCAATGGAGCATCCTGATGGAAGCCAGCCATCAGCCGGGTGGAAGGTTATTAACAATCTGCCACAGAATTGAAAAATGCATATTCCTTTCCAGAAAGCAGGAGAACAGATTCCATAATCTATTCTCTTCCAAAAGAAGGCGTCCACTCATGTCTTAAAGGGAAATGAGCAATCAAGTTTTTGACCAGTGGACTCTGTGGACAAGTCACCATTAAGTCATTAACTGTGAGGAGCTCAGTTGTGCCAGAGTGGAGGTATCAAATCTAACATCAGTGAGTGAGTATATGTGTGTGAGAGAGGTGAGGAGGGAGTTACCCCCCTGTAGCTGATGTTTTCTTCACCTGATTTCCTGCCACTCAGCATATATATATATATACACATACATACATACATACATACATACATACATACATATATATATATATGGGACTAAAGAGATGGTTCAGCCATTAAGGGCACATACTGCTCTTGCAGAGGATCTAAGATGGGTTCCCACCATCTACGTCAGGTGGATGTATCTCCAGCTCTGGGAGATCTGATGCCTCTGACCTCCATGGGCATAGGCACTCAGGTGACATACACGTATACACCTGCATGCACACATATCCATAATCAAAACTAATAAAGTAAATGTTTCAAAAACTTCATAGCATTTTTTAAATACATCCCATGTCAACATTTTCCACTTCCTGTGTCATTATCATGTGTCAGACTTTGTGCTGTACACTACCATGCAGTAGCCTGTGTCATACTCATAGAAGGCAGGTTCAGGACCCTTATTGATGGGAAAACTGCTTTCTCATGTGGCCAGTCAAAGTAGGAAACTGGTTCAAATCCAGGGATATTCACCATCACAGTAAGGGCTCAAAACCCTCTTTATCCCAGGTTTCTAGAAGCTTCACTTAAAGGGCCCCGATCTTCTCATGGCCTTTGAAAAAGCCCCCTACACCTTACTCATCCCCTTACAAAGGGGACTTTTGCACCCCACATATGAACAACCACGGTTTTATTTTCCAGGCCTGTGAGCCTGGCTGTTGGGCTGAAAGTCATTTATTTGAACGGCTAATCAAATTCATGTGGTCTTGTCTTCAGACTGGAACTACTCTTCCAGCCTAAGATGTGAGCATGCAAAGATCTTGCTCTCCCCTGAGTCCAGTCACAGCCACAGTTGGGCTAGAAGAGTTTAACAAAGCACAGGTCACTCACCCCGTCATAAACAAGAGCTTTCCAGGAATGTTCTAACTTCTTCATTAACCTGAAAAGCAAACAGACGGAGGAAAATAACACTGAGAATGCAAAACGGCTCTGGTTGGTGAATTTTCGGGAAAAGAAAAAAAAGAAGTTTGGTTGCTTTTAAAATAATGAAAGACCACTCCCCCAAATTTCTCACCTATATGATTGGAGGATATCAATAATGCCCATGAATAAAAGTAGTTTTTCTCCCTTATGGCTTTTAGCTGGAATGCCTCCCATCCTGTGGATACAGCAAAGGGAAAAATATTTTATAACACGAGTACAGAAAGCTGAAATTCATTACTAATTATACCCCAAAACATTAAGAATTCTAGATTACTGCCTCCTTTATTGCCATAAGTTTTCATCAGTTTAAGGGATAATAACTTCTTAGCTGTCAAATCTGAGGAGTTGGATGGGAAGAATCTAATTACAAAACCACTTCTATTTAAAAGTTACGAGCAAAGAAGGATATTCAGAGCAGTATAAAATACTGCTTTAAAAAAGGAGACAAGACTAGCGTTGAACAGTGCCTGCCACGCATGGCCGAGGCCTTGGGTTTGACCCCCAGTGCTGCATAAAACCACATGCATAGGGGCAGATACAAGGGGTAGGGCCAGGAGAATCAGGAGTTCAAAGCCATTTTTGGCTACATTGGAAGTTCAAGGTCAGCCTGCTCTAAAGTAATATTATTCTTTCTGATCTAAAGAGTCGTATGTTTAATATGAGGCTGAAAAATACATAGAGGCCTGGCATAGCCATATCTGATGGGAACGGCAAAAGTCATAAGGCCAGCACAGCTGTGTGACAAAACCCAGCAAAGCTGAGCCACACGAGGGCCCATGCCACCTTTGGGTTTCATCTCCACCTGGGAGACTTTCAATATTTGTACAGTTTGGGGAATATTGGGTTGATGGAAAACATCGCATGAATCATTCATGCCTTCCCCCAGGAGTGCTGCTTCTAAGTTTCCTCAGGAAAGTTCTGAACACACCACCCCTCCCTCAAAGTGGGAGGGGTGGTGTGTTCCTTATGCCTCGGAGGTTGTGACATACAGAAAGAAGCCAGAGGTCTCTTTATGAGGCTATGGGACACTCTTGAAACATCTGCCCTTGTACTCAGACAGGAACAAGATATCCAAAACAAAGTAACTCAAAAAACGTCAACAAGATTCAGTGGGCTAGAGGAGTTGGCCACAGTAGCAAGCCTCTTCCTACTATACACTCAGGTGATTATGTGGCATGTATAGAAACAAAATTAGATTAGCTGAAGTTACCTCAGCCCTACACTGAGATTTATACTGATGAGCAAAGAATGATGTAGAAAGATGATAAAAGTATTCTGTAAATATATAAAATGTAAACATTGTGTTATGCCAGAATTTGAATAATAATTGCAGCAGTTTTGGCCTGAGGATATTTCTTGGGCACTCTGACCATTAAGAGTTAGTAATACACTACTTAGGCCATGGCAGTATGCCCAGGATGGCTTGAAGATTGTTTTGGTCTATGGTCCTTATACCCATAAAAGCTACCAGCCTGAGAACAGGCTGTCATCTAGATTCCTAAAAAATTGGGTTATGGGGTTGATGAGTAAAGATGGTTATGAAAGATAACTGTTTATCAATGATGTCAAAACTTGAGGGAAAATGATTGGAAATGATAACTCTTCTGTCATAGTTTATTATTGATGACTAAAAGATGAACAAGAGAAAACGTTAAACACATGTTCAAAACCAAAAATGATATGATCTATGCTTTAGAACAACATGAATGTACCCGCACTTACTAAATTTTGTATAAATCAAGAAGCAGTCTGGCTGCTAGTCAGTCAGGCAGCAAGATTCTCCCAACCACCATGGCCTGGCTCATTTCCCTCCCTCACCTACTCCTTACATCCCCTGCTGGGACCTGTATCCCTACAGCTGATATGCCTCTTCTCCGTCCTTCTCTCCTAAAATGAAACTAAGAAGTGTCCCATGTCTGATTCCTCCTGTCGCTCTTGCAAACACCCATCTTCAGACCCTGCCCTCATCTGGAGCTGGACTCTGGCAGAGGCCTAGTGTGGTAGAGCACACCTTTAATCCCAGCATTTTGAAGGCAGAGGCAAGAGGATCTCTGTGTGTTCGAGGCCAGCCTGGTCTATATAGTGAGTTCTAAGATAGCCAGAGACCATAACAGAGAGATCCTACCTTAAAAATTCCTAGCCAACAACCTTCCCCAACCTGCCCAAACATAGAAAATAATTTACAAAATTAACTCTAAGATATATTTTTGCAGGGTGTGTGTGCGTGTGTGTGTATGTATGTATGTATGTATGTATGTATGTATGTATGTTTGTATGTATGTACATATGGATTAATCTGAAGAGATTATTGGATTGTAACTTGAGCATTACATTTGTTAATGGCAATGTGATTAATAGCTCTGTGGCATTTTACAACATGGACACAGAATAATTTGTTCAGTAGATTATTGACTATTTAGACAGAATTGCAAACAAGGATTCGAAAGAAGGCTGACCACATGTTAGTTTCCTTTCTGAGAGACAAATGTGCACCTGGCTTAGTCATTGCTGCAGAATCCTAGGAGGCCAGTGACGAAGGCTGTGGGAAGTGATTTCCTCTGTCTCCTTGCTCAGCAAGTTCACATGTGATGAGTCATCTCAACAACCTTCCATAGTTGTAATGATTTCTATTGTTAAAGGTGCACTTTACATATGCAAATGGAGCCTGCAGTTACCAACACGTCTGGCTGAGGAGAGACATCTACCAGGGTGCAGAGGTGAGACAGACAGAATCCTCTTTGCAGATTAAAAGCCCCTTAAGTGCCAGTATCATTCCTACCATGTGTTTTCGAAAGTAAATAAGTGAGCACGAATACTTATTCACACTTATTCGAGTCCAGGATTTGTTCTTCCCTCTTCTGGTAGATGTGTTGAATGTGTAGTAAATGAAGGGACAACATTTTCAATCATTGTTTAAAAAAAAGGAAAAGAAAAAAGGAACCATTTGAAACAAGAAACCATGTGGGTGAAAGACAGAAACTTGAGAAACTGCCACTCATCTAGTTGTCTAGAGATAGAGAGAAATAAAGTTGGTTTCAGCCATTGACTACCTTACCAGGAGTCTATTCCCAGTGTACCACCCCTTGGGGGAGGTGATTGCATGCAACTACCCAGTGACTGGGGTACCCAAAACCAGGACGGTTGTACTTACGTGTCTGGATTCTCTGCAATGATCCCATCTGCAGACTTGCCTGGACCCTGGATGGATTCCATGGCTGTGGAGTAGAGGACTTTCTGCATCCCAGGCCGCTTTGCATCGGGCACATTTTGTAAGGGCTCCTCTTCTTTGTCTTTAAGGGAATGGTCCAAGATGTGGATTCCCAGCAAAAGGCTATAGTCCATGATCTTGAAGCTTTCCAGCACCTGAGGAAGGAAAAGACCCAGAAGGTCAGTCAACTCAAAGGGCCTGTGAGCCTAAGAGCTCAGAGTCAGCAGACATGCCACACCTGTACTTGTCCACTGAGAGGCAAAACGTCAAACACAAAACCATCTTAGTTATTATTAGGCTACTGGCAGGAAGTACTGCCATGGTGGTGGGAAAATGAAATTTTTATGCAAATCTAAAGGAAGAAGCTCTTCCTTCCACAACTGATTCACTTACAACACTTACTGAATGCTTTCCATAAACCAGGTGCCAAGTACCTCCCTTGGATTCAACCGTCACACCAAACCTATGAGCTAGTATTACTGTTGTCTCTGTTACATAGATGAAAGCCGTGGAGACAGAAGATAAAAGAACCTGTTGGGTCACAGGCAGCACACCAGTGACAGACCCACGAGGTGGACACTGGCATTCACACTCTTAGCACAGGAACCAAGAAACCCAGTCTCACCAGTACAAACACCCCAGCTTTTGCCTGGGTTCCATTCTCTGCATCTGGAGCTTGAGTTTAGTGATAACCGCTTTTCAAAGCCTATCTCTCAATGTTGCCCATCATTTCCCCGTAACAGGTCTTTGTAATATATGTGATCTCAACAAATAGCAGGGCTTAATGCTTAATTATCCACTCTGTAGACAGTGGGGAGATGGAGTCAAAAAGGGTTCAATGCAGCCAGACAAAAGAAAAAGACGAGCTGCGAAGGGAAAGGGACAGGACATAAGGTCTAGGTGACTATCCCTCAAACTGTTAGAGTGCAGGGGACTTGTACACCTGGACCAGCCTTAGACAGGTAGTGCCTGATCAGGAGGCATGTCTGAAAACGAGATCTCTTCTTGTATGACTATTCTTCTTTTCTACCAGTGTGTGTGAGTTATCCAGACCCCAGCCTGTTGTATGACCTACACCAATGACAGATCCACGAGGAAGACGCTGTCATTCACACTCTTAATCGGAACTAGTCCTTGGGCAGTGTAGGATCAAAATCCCAGAGTCTTCATGCTTCTCATTGTCCTCGAGCCTAAGTGTTTTTATAGCAGATGTTCATGCCATTTGAAAGGGGGTTGGCTGGGAGGGAGAATACTTGTGGATGTAACTTCAGGAAGGCCAGGTGAGAAAGGCTTCACGAAGTGGGCCATGAGTAGTCTTTGAAATATGCTGGTCCCTGGGTCCCAGTCATCTTTGCCATTAATGATGAACATATTATGGGCTGTAAACAAGCTTCAGTTATTCCACAGAATTTACCCTTCAACTGGTTTTTAAATAGCATTAGGAGTGAAACAGAGCCTTGTGAATATTTTGATATGCTAAAGTTATATATTTTAGAGTGGAGACAGATAATAATTGAGAGTAGAATTACATTATTTGAGAGGCCTGCGACATAGAAATTATATTTCCAGAGATCTATGTGTGACCTGATAGCTGTGCAAAACCAGCTCCCCACAACTAACTGAAGTAGGAGTTGGAAGAGATGGGTACTGCTGCTGATTGCTGGCCCAGGGCTCAAGCAGCAGAACCATCAGTCAGTTCTCCATGGAGGCATGTCGTTTAAGCCTTGCCCTTCCACGGAGCAATGATCAGCATGGAAAACAAGCCTGCTTTGTGTCAGGATGCCATCGGCTTAGCCTCTGAAGTCAGGAATATAATCGGAACACACATGGGAAGTCCTGGGGAGTGCATCAACAGTCTTGGTAAGAGACTATGATCCTAGCACTCAGGAGGCAGAGGTGGGAGGATCTCTGTGATCTCTGTGAGTTTGAGGCCATCCTGGTCTACAAAACTACATAGAGAGACCCTATCTTGAAAGACCAAAAAAAAAAAAAAAAAAAAAAAAAACAACAACAACAACAAACAAAAGGCAGTGATGACTTGGTGAAGTCAGCCCTTCAGGGTACAGCACTACATACCTGTGTGCAACTCAGAGGTCAAGTTTAGCTACCACCTTCTGCCACCTTCCTATAGGAAGTTCCTGAATTGTTACCTTTGGCTGGTTCTCATTCCTAAACTACAGCCTGTATACTCCCAGTGGCCTCTAGGTATTTTAAAGTTTCTAAACCATCCACATTGTAACTGTAAACTCTTGTTTTGTCTCAAAACAACTCTTTCCCCTGGTTTCCTGCTTTCATTTGAAAACACTGTAATGTAAATTTTAGACTCCAAGGACCCCCTCTCCTTTCATTAGCTGCCCAGTCCTGCAGCTGGTGTTATCAAAACATCCCCCTTCTCTAATCATTCCATTCCAGCTTCCCTTGCGGATGGGTTCAGTGACCCCTTGTCAGTAGGTCACATCACATCTCTACTCAAAGTCTCCTGACCTGCCATGGCTTGGTGGCGAGGCCTCAACTTCACATCAAAGGACTTTGCTCTCAAGGCTGAAGTCTGTGTCTCCTTGTTTGACACCGGCTTAGGTTCCTAAATTACTCCCAAGGGTGCCCGGAAGATGTAAGCCCTGATGTTTTTGTTCATGCGGCTGTTTCTATAGACTTTTCAGTTTTTCAACTCAGAGGGGATTATTACATCCTAACTCATATGGTAATTCCACAAAAACTACATTACTATATTACAAACTGTTGGGAACAAGCACTCTCTCTGAAGTCCCAAACATATTATGTGTCCCTCTGCGCTACAAAGCTTGAGCCCAGATTATACGTGCAGTTTTCATATCGTAAAGGAGATGCTGGGCTCACCAAAGGCTTGATCTACTCTGTGCTTCCTTTGGTGGAAGGTGCATTGGTCATGTGGGTCATATGGGTCCATGTCTACATGCAAATAAAAAAAGTCACCGACAAAGCATGTCCAATACTACACTTCTGGGCTTTAAATACCAGCACTCAGTATCATGATTACGAGGTCTGTGCAAAAATCTCAGCATTGAAAACATTTACTGTGATTGTGTGCTGTGTTGTCAGGAAAACGAACATAAAAGTTCCCTGTGTTTTCAAAGCTACTTACATGATGGATATTTATACTCCGTTCAAAGGGAAAATGAAGATGATATTTGCAAACACTGTCGTTTGCTGTTTAGTGTGCACACAACTAAATGACCGATAAGAGGGAAGTTGTTTTGCTGTAAACGAGGCTGCGTTGTAGGCTGGGAGCCCATTACCTTGCTCTTTGGGAAGCCTGTCTGTCATAAGCTGGGTTAAGAATGGACTCTTCACTCAAGAACATTTGGGGCTGGCTCTAAGATGGAGGCTGAATTGTGTAATACATAAAATTAAAAAGGATTCAGAAATAATTAGAAATTTGGATACTGCCTATTTGATGGTTAGACTTATTTTAATACAACATCCAAAAGTTAATATGAACTTAAATGTACGATACAATGTCTTGGGTATTCTCTTTTTTGAAATTATAATATAATTATACCATGCCCCTTTCCCTTTCCTCCCCTTCACCAAATCCCTTCCATGTCTCTCTCCTTGCACTCTCTCAAACTCATGACCTTCTTTAATCTAAAAAGGGGTCTTTAATATTAGGAGAATCATACCGAAACACATATCAATAAAAGAATATGGTGGCTGGGATGTGCTTCAAATTGTATAGGAAGGAAGAAAGGAAGGAAGGAAGGAAGTGCAAAATTGGCTTTGAGTTGAAAATGGACATGGGACATATATACATAGACATACATGTATAAATATACATGTATATGTATGTGTACTTATGCCTATATTACATACATGTATATGTATATTAATTGTAGCATTCTGCCAACTTTTATATATGTTAGAACTTTTCAAAAAATAAAGTTTCAAGTTCTTCTTTGAGATGCTTAGAAGAAATGCATTATGATACTTGGTTAGATAGTTTGCCTCTGCCTCAGCAGCTGATGGGCTAGTGATGGATACTATGAAAACACAGATGAGAAACAGGACAGAAACCACAGTGGGCCAAGCAGGAGGCTGGCTTGTGCTCTCTGTTCCTCTCAACTGGCCATTTTTTTTTTTTTTTGTTGAAAGACCAAAGTAACACGAAAATGTGAAGTTGATCAGGAGATTCATCAAAGCCCCTGGGTAATGTCTCTAGCTGGTCTATATATAGTCACTAAATAAGGGGTTACTAACTTATACAAAATATTTGCAGTAATCCAATAAGATAAGTCAATTAAAATGGTATCCTGGAGATTTTATGCAAATAGCCATCCCTGGAATGAACTGATTTGAAGAAAAATGGACCCAGGAACCTGTTATTGCTTACAATGTCAGCCTCTCAGAGTATAGCACTAGATTGTGTGTACGTGCAAGTCCAGTTAGAGTACAATGCTGTCTTTTTCATTTAACTTAATTTCCTCAATAAAGCTCAGAGTGTTCTTCGCTAATGTAATAAGGAGAAAATACAGACATATAATTTTAGCTAGTAAATCAGAATGGATTAAATATTAAGTCCTTAGCTTAGTTATAGGCTGGCACCACAGTCACACAGAACACTGGACTATGGGGTACTGACCAGCACAAAGGCGACCTTCTGATTTTATTTTCACTTGAGAACTTGAAGTGACAGAATTATGTTCTATGCTTTAGAAACAACCATCTATCACCCAAGGGTTTATATGCATACATGTATATCTATATGTACAGCAACACATATATATCATTCTTATATATGGTTGTTTTTGAAACAGAGTTTACATGGTCCAGGTCGACTTTGAACCTGCCTCACTCTCACTTAAATTTCTCCGTGACATGCTATTTAAAACTCACAAGTAGCGATAAATACGACGAAGACGACGATGGCAACAACCACAACAGAAATCAGGACACACTTTCGGTCTTCAGACTTTAAGACAAGGAAGTTACTTCTCAGGCTGGCCAGGGTTCCCAACTCCCAGTCTTCCTTTTGTTTTGTTTGTTTTTTTGTTTCCACTTGACTCAAAAGGAGGGTTATAAAAATTAGTGCTATGATAGCCCTGCAGTTACTGTAACTAATGGGAATTTTCAACAGCTGCTCACCCAGCAGTCGCGCTCATGGACCTATTCCCCAGCTGTT